AGGGCATGAACTTCACAGTTGCTCAACCTTTTGTCATGTACCACCAGTCACTTTTTTTCTTAAGGTGCACATAGCAGTGCACACAACAATGTGCAGAGGGCCTACACAAAAACAACATGATTGTACCCTGATTATTTGATTATTTTGATCACTCAACAGTCAACAGTCAGGAGATAATTATTAAATATCACATTTATTATACATCACTTGTCAAACAAAAGCATGATGACACACATTTTGACAAGCAATCATGGTAGTATTCCAATAAGTTGGACAGCCATCTCCCTGGGCGTCATTTTTCCAGGAAGGTACCTCTGCAGGTGTTGTGGTAGGCCTAGGTTGAATTGGGTCAAGTTAGGCGAAGTAAGGTGGTTAGGACCCGGTCAGACCGTAGGTAAAGCCTGGTCAGGTTGATTTTAATCTTTCATTCTAATTTGACATAGATACCTATTACCTATGTTTTGCTCCAGCCTGAATTTCATTAGGTAATGAGTTAATTTTGCTTTGTTTTATCTGTCTTGTTTTGTGTTTTTGTCCCTTATATTTTGCCCCATAGGCAAGGGTGGAGCTTTTCCAGGGAAGGTGGTGGAGCATGATTGGAGGCGCTCAACCAGACGGCATAGGAGGGCACGGTTTCTGAACGCGCACTGATGCCTGATTCAAGCCACGCTGTCTTCATGCGTGGCGGCGCGCTACTTAAAAGTCCCTAAAAGAACGGGAAGTGATGCCGATAGAACCTTCAATCATTCTGGGCTAACGCTTATGACTTGGAAAAAGTCGCGATCCCAATTCAATCGAAAACCTGTGGGCTCTTGTTTAGCAGGAGGTATATGAAGAGCCACCCGCCATAAGCACTGCTCAACCGCAGGCACAGGTTTAGACGGCGTTGGTCCGCATCAAAGCCAGTGTGCTGGAGAATCCATTGGCTGAAATGCTCCAGAACATTCGCCACTGTGTGGGTTCCTCATTTCCTCTCTGACTGTCCTTTGAAACCACTCCAAAGATATGCAGAAACCAACGAGGTGAGTAAACGAGGTGAGTAAACTGTGTTTTTTTTATGAAAGGTAGCTACAAGCTCAGTTAAAAGAAAAAGTACCAGATTGGTTTGCTTTTACAGCGGGAAGAAAGGTGTCCGGATAATTTCGTTACACCCCCTGTGATGTTCAAATGGTTGCTAAATTCGAAATCAGCTCCAAAAACTAGCCTAGAAACATGTAAAACTCGAAAAAGTGAACCGAGGTCATCAAAGGTCATTGAGCTGACCTGACCTTCAGGTGACCTTGACACCCACCCTAATGCATAGGACCAGCATCATATCACATGTTTCAACGCTTGAAACCACGTGAAGACTGCAACCGCGCGGCTAATGCGAGCCGACATACGCCGAATCGCGATTCGGGCCAAACATGGTCTCGAGAAATAGGTCACAGGTCAAAGGTCATTTGGGTCAGGGTCATGAAATTTTCAGGGTAGGTGTAAAATTGATAAAATCGGGGGTATTGAAAGTTTCGTCGCGATCGGACGGTTTTTACGCGAGTTACTCACGAAAAACCGATAAAGCGCACCCAAAAAGGCAGAAATATGCACATGCGATATCCTATACTGCGAAAAAAAGGTGCACCATTTTTTAACGTCGCCGACAAATTGTAATTACCCCAAGCTCAGGCAGGTGTATGGTAGAAAATCCCCCAAGTGAAATACACTACGGCGGAAAAAAATACCCTACGGCGGAGCTCGGTTGTAATTTGTAAATACGCTTCCCGGCCCCCGCTGTTTGCGCGGCGCAGCACTGGCCGAGCTCGTGCTGCTGTTGATACTAGCCGTGTCTGATGACGGGCAGGGGATGTCCCCAGCTTCCCCGGCGGCTGTGCCGCTGGGAAGAGTGCCGCCACGTTTCGTCTGACCCCTGCAACCCAATATCCGCCCCAGTGTGGGCCTCCCGGCATGTGAAGTTCTCTGGTCTCAAGGGACGCGCCGTGTGACCTCTGTGACCTCAGCCAGCCCTGACCTGCTGAGTGATCGAGGTTGATGACGCTCTGTTTTGCACAGCTCCGCATTCTCAGCCGGTCCCGTAGCTCAGTTGGTAGAGCGTTCACGGTTCGTCGGAAGGTCATCTCAGGCTCAAAAGAAACGGTATATACCATTCGAAAGCTGACGGTGAGCTGAATCCAAAAATGTAATTTTTATCAAAATCGATCGATGGCCTTTTTTGAAAATTGCGTTTTTGTAAAAACTTAATAATCTTTTTTTTCAACGGGCTGTCCCGGACATTCTTGAAAACATAAACATGTATTTTTGAGTTCCAGTGAAAGCTGAACGCCAAAAGAACAATATTTAGCGAAGCAATATTTCCCAACATTAATATGCGTCTCCCACAGCCGACAATAAGGCGCAATCACACAGCTCAGTGTCACGATGGACCAAAGTCAGCCACACAGAAGCATGAAATGACCCTTATCGACTCGCAGACCCGGCGCTCTCGGCCCGCCTGACCGGCCACGGAAAGGACGTTCGGCTCTCGTTCTACTAAACAAATGTCATATTTGTCACTTTAACTGTCCATATCGCTACTAAATTTATTCAGGATACCTGGGAAGAAAATTCATTGTTCTGCTTGATTTACAACATGCTTTAATTTACATTTTTTCTTATACATGTTTTGTTCCATCCAGCTGCGATCAGTGCCCGCGCAGGGGAAGTGAGCGGAGTTTCACTGTCAGAGGCTGTACTGGTGACAGCTGCTCGGCCGTGCGACCGGTCAAAGGTTACCCTGCCCCGCCGGGCGCTACCCCCACTCCACCCGAGCTGAGGCCGGTGCAACCTCTGACATTTCAGCGCGGCCAATTTTCCTTATATGGGCATGATACCAAGCTCAATTGAGCAAAGTGGACATGAACAAATGCAAATTAATGCATGATGTGAAGATGACAGAACAATGAATTTTCTTCACAGGTATCCTGAATAACTTTAATAGCGATGTGGACAGTTAAACTGACAAATTTGACATTTGTTTAGTAGAACGAGAGCCTAACGTTCTTTCCGTGGCCGGTCAGGCGGGCCGAGAGCGCCGGGTCTGCGAGTCGATAAGGGTCATTTCACGCTTCTGTGTGGCTGACTTTGGTCCATCGCGACACTGAGCTGTGTGATTGCGCCTTATTTTCGGCTGTGGGAGACGCATATTAATGTTGGGAAATATTGCTTCGCTAAATATTGTTCTTTTGGCGTTCAGCTTTCACTGGGACTCAAAAATACATGTTTATGTTTTCAAGAATGTCCGGGACAGCCCATTGAATAAAAAATTATTAAGTTTTTACAAAAACGCAATTTTCAAAAAAGGCCACCGATCGATTTTGATAAAAATTCCATTTTTGGATTCAGCTCACCGTCAGCTTTCGAGTGGTATATACCGTTTCTTTTGAGCCTGAGATGACCTTCCGACGAACCGTGCGTTGGACTCCGCGTGGTGAGAGCACGCATTCCGGGTTATAACAGTCCGGGTTCGAAGCGCGACGGACGGGTGACATTTATAGGCCTCCTGACGGCTGACAGGTACTCGTATGGTTGCGGTTGGTGGCAGGCCGTAGCCAGCAGAAGTCAGTGAAGGGACCGGCCGTGCGCGGCTTTGTGCGCACGTTAAACTTTGGACTCTGTCATATTATCATATGAATATATCATATGAATTCTGCCATAGAACTGGAATTGCGCTATCGGAGGGCAGAGGGCAGGGTCACCGCAACAAGCTTCGCTTAGCGGTGGCTCTGTATTTGTGAATCTTCTTATCAAAAGGTTTGGACTAAATTTATTTTTTAAAAAAAATCACGGAAACGGCAATACATTGAGACATGTTATGACACACGGCGGCACAGTGGAGCCGGGCCGGGGGAGGGGAGGCGGGGGGGGGGGGGGTCCGGACACCCCTGCGATTTTTGAACACCTGTTAATGCATCTTTTCCGCACATGTCAAAACTTCATACCCTGGTCGCTCAAGATCAGGTCACCAGGTCACGTCAAGTGACCATACCTCGGAAAAATTAGAATGCTGGTGATAGCTACACCATATGAACAATCGCCTTGAAACTTTCAGCGATTTATGAGAGTAATAATATCTATAAAATTTGCATCTCGAAAAGTTGATATCGATGACCTAAAGTCAGTTTCGTTTTGCGCCTTCCCTATCTGGCATTCCTATGCCAACGAGAGAAAATTGAAAGGCGCCTGTTTTAGTCGAACGTCATTCGAATCACTTTCAAACACCGACTCACAAGTAAACGTGGTACACTGAACCGGAAAATGGCACCCGTAACCCCTCGTTATGTCTCTTAGGTCATTTCGACACCTTTTTTTAAACCCCACATTTGTTCTCCCGTGGAGTTCAGACAAGTTGTTTAGAAACCTTCAAAAAAGGTACAGTCACTCGATTTTTCTCAATTTTGTCTGTCTTGGCAGATCAAGCAATGCCAGAGCAAGCTTACGAACACACAAATTTGATCAGGATCGGACGATTGGACACTTCTTAAAAGAGATCTTTCGTGCTTCCCGGAAATTCACCGGAGAACAGATGTGGGGTTAAAAAAAGTGTCGATTTCAGGTCACGAATGGGGTCTAAAAGTTTGTCACTGATACCTAGCTTCTGATAGAGGCATGCTAGAGCGATGAAAATGCCTTAGAGGTGTTCGGCTCGACGATACGGATTTACCGAAATGCAACATGACTTTTTCCAATCAGATCATGACGGGGAATTTTCAAATTTTCAAGTTAACCTTTTAAAAGTCAAGTTAAAGTTCATTCGACGCGTCTCGACGAGAGGAATATGCCCTGGCAAATTAAATGTGATGCCTTTCTTGAGTCAAATGTTATAAAAGAAAAACACTTCTCGTTTAAACGTTTACATTCAAATACTTTTCGAATTTGAATTTAAACGTTTAGGTGCCTGCTATTTGCATTCATTGTTAGCTGCCAGCTGGCATGACACGTTGGCGCCTGCTAAGTAAACATGAGTGTGATAGATTTTTCTGTTTTATTTGCGACTGGACTGGATGAGATAGATATTGCAGCGCGTTTCTCCGTGAAAGATAAAATCGCTGTTTATCTGGTGCTTTGTATCTCAACGCTCGGTGACATGGGGCCAACACTCAGGCCAATTTATAATAGCAGATGACGAAATAGTTGTAGCTGTTGCAGTCGACATTGGACCAGTATCCGTCGCGGTCCATGGCGACACAGTCACGGCCGTTGGTGTCGTAGGGCTGGCCGTCCCTCCAATGAGTGTAGTTGGCCGGCCGGCCGCCCTGCCACAGCCAGGGACTGGAGGAGTTCGCCCTGCGCAGACCCAGCCAGGCCGAGTTGCCTCCGGTCAGCAGGTGCACCTGTGCAGCACGGAGGTCACCATTCGTGAGATCAGCAAAACGGCCGGACACCATATACTCACTCAGTGGTGTCTGTGAAGGATAAATTAGCCAGAGGCACAAGTGCGCAACGTTTGGTTACTTACAAATAGGTTATTGATGAATCAGATAACTTATGATAATGTAGCGACATTGTTGTTTTACATATATTTAAGTAATTAATAGTCATCATAGCTCCCAAGGTCAGGCATACATCCCCATCTATTTTGTTTAGGTACGAGTAATTTTGTCTATCATTCAGTTCATTTAGTCTCGGTACCCAATCGTCCGTCTGTAACCAACAATATCTGCATATCAATACTTCACTAATTCGTAAAATGAGCCTGGCAACACCAAGATTCCTATAGATAACCAGCACCGCAAGGACGGCTCGACGGGAACCATCCAATGGACTAGCTACTAACCCACCTGGCCTGGCATCGGGTGCCGGCCACACCCCCTGGGGACAGACAGAGGATCGAGGCGCGTAGCTGCCTGTTCCGCTCTCACTGCACCCAGCACTCACCCTCTCCTGACTGGGGGCGCTGAGCACCTCTGGCAGGGTGACGTCCGCCCCGAAGAAGTGGCACGTCTGCACGGCCTCGTCGGCGTCCATGGAGGAGAAGGGCGGTACCAGCGGCAGGAAGCACTCGCCGTCAGTGAGGGCCAGCCAGTCGGGACTGGGACACGACAGGACGACGGTAATGACGGCGAGCAGCAGAGCCGCCAGTCTGGGCAGGGGCGACATGGCCGGGCACGGGCGGAACAGGGAGATGAGGATGGGCTGTGGCAGGCTGCAGCTGACTGTGGCGGGCTGTACCGGGCTGCGATGAGCGATGATATGCCTCGGGCTGTTTCTGTTGACCCTGCTGCTACTGAGCCAGGCACCGTTCCGCTCCGGGTGGGACGGACGCGTGGTCTGCCGTTCAGTCGGTGTTCGGCCGGTTTAATAGTCGTCATCGCACTGAGGCTATCGCGTGGGATCCAAGGCAGTTGGTGCCCTGTCTTCTGCCCGAATTGCGACGGATATGTGGTAATTCTATTTCCATAGAACTCGGATTCTAACTTCTAAGCTGTACATTACGTACGGAGAATACTTCGCAGTTTCATTTCGACTAGGTACATTAGGCAGTAGGCACTCCAAGTCCGAGGTAAACACGTGACTTATTTCATTCTTGTGCAGGTGAAGAAAATGAGGTCTACCTTCAACAATGAAAAATGAAAGAGGTAGGTAAAGGTATAGGGGAAGTTGGGGCAATGCCGGGGTTGGGGCAAAGCCGAAATTCGAGATATTTCGAAACCCGTACGACATGGATGCCACCTGTCAGTGATGCTCTGAAGCTTAAGTGACTGCCAATTATCGCATGTTTGTTACCAGTCGTCATTCGGAATACTTCGGCTGTGAGGGCGCCAAGAGCGTTTTCAAGGTACGTTTCCTTTGTACTATACATGCGTCTTCGAAGCTGCATTTCCTACTCATTATGCTACCGTTTGTCTGGCCAATTCGGTCAAGTAATCTTCAGCACGTCTTTGCATTTTTTTTTTTTATAAATTTAGTCCGAACCTTTTTGATGGGAAGGATTCACAAGGACAGAGCTACCGCTAAGCGAAGCTTGTTGCGGTGACCCTGCCCTCTACCCTCCGATCGCGCAATTCCAGTTCTATGGCAGAATTTAGAGTCCAAAGTTTAACGTGCGCACATAGCCGCGCACGGCCGGTCCCCTCACTGACTTCACCTGGCTACGGCCTGCCACCAACCGCAACCATACCTGTCAGGAGGCCCATAAATGTCAAGCGCCCGTCGCGCTTCGAACCCGGACTGTTGTAACCGGGAACGCGTGCTCTCACCACGCGGAGTCCAACGCTCTACCAACTGAGCTACGGGACCGGCATAAGTGTGCTGCCTATTTGAAATTTATACAGCACGTTGAAAATTTATGGGCCTACAAATGAAAGTATGGCTGGCTGGGGTAATGCCGAAAACGTGCAATTACGCGCGTTAAAGCATGCTACGTGAACTTTACCGCTGTAGAATAGCAACGCGTATTTTTAGTCACACAAATTACACTTTTAACCGACACAACGGCCTGTTACCATAAGGAATGATTTACCTGGCCTATTCTTATTATATCACACAATTATAACTTCCACTGTGCACCAAGCATCCTCAAGCTCTTAAAACGCGTGTCAGCTTTGACGAAATCTGGATAAAATTTGAGATAAAATAGCAAAACATCAATTTCGGCATTCCCGTAGATCATTTCTCCCATTTTCGGCTTTCCCCGCAGTCCGGGGCAACGCCGAAAAAGTCACTTCTTTGATATTTTTAGTTTGTGCGCTTAACGGCATGCGAATTCATCAAATGCGCCTGGTATGTTTGAAAGGCAAAAGACTGGCCTCTCGAATGACGCCAACAAGAATAGCTTATGTTGTCTACCTTGCGTGCTACGGGCGTCAGAAAAAAAGTATTCGGCGTTCCCCCAACTTCCCCTATTTTGAAAATGTGTACCTATCTTTTCTTGATGACCCATTCAATTGTGCATATAGGCCTACAAAACAATAAATACCTACCTAGGTATTGAATGGCATAGGACAAATACGGCTTTTGACCAACGTGGTTACGCTGAGAGCCTCAAAGCTCAGCCTATTCCAATTTCCATTTTATTTGTTTTCTATTTATTTGTTGCAACGACATAGGTATCTTTTAGTTATTTTTTTTGTGGTGCAAACATACTTCTAAAAAGGCAGCTTACACACAAGCAAACGGACAAAAAGTCCGACAAATCAACCAACAGCCAGACAATCAGACAGACAAACAGACAAACAGATAAACATAAAACCAGTATAACGCCTTTTGGGGCGACTAACGGAGCGAGCGAGAGGGTGGGCCTTGCACGTGCGAAATTGCGAGGGGGTACCTCCAACTGACTTGTGCACGGCACCCTACTAACCGGTCTCTAGCGATGTGCCAAATTTGAGCACAATCGGCCCAGCCGTTCTCGAGATCTGGAAGCGGCACCCTGCACGTGCGCACGTGCAAAATGGGTCCCGACTGACTTTTGCACGGCACCCTACTAACCGGTCCCTAACTGTGTACCAAATTTGAGCGCAATCGGTCGAGCCGTTCTCGAGATCTGGAAACGACCCCTGCACGTGCGCACGTGCAGCAGCACCCCAACTCAGGCACATGGATGTGCATTGCCTAGTGGGTGCCTACCTACATGCCAACTTTCAGCGCAATCGGCCCAGTAGTTACCGAGATATTGCAACAATTACAAAACTGACACCTCTTCGTTTTGCACGTGGCACGTGCATAAGGGGTCACCCACATGCATCGGGAATAGTCCAGTACTTGGTAGAAGGAATGAAGCTACCCTACAAAAATTACCGCGTGTAAATCGGTCAAGTGGTTGCTGAGATATAAGCCTCGCAAAAGCGTCCGCACGGCCGGCCGGCCGCTCATACTCAGAAATTTCCGTTAATCTAAGGAAAGACTCCGCTCGCTTCGCTCGCTCCGTAAAGAGACCAGTATAGCGCCTTTTGGGGCGACTAACGGAGCGAGCGAGAGGATGGGCCTTGCACGTGCGAAATTGCGAGGGGGTACCTCCAACTGACTTGTGCACGGCACCCTACTGACCGGTTTCTAGCGATGTGCCAAATTTGAGCACAATCGGCCCAGCCGTTCTCGAGATCTGGGAGCGGCACCCTGCACGTGCGCACGTGCAAAATGGGTCCCAACTGACTTGTGCACGGCACCCTACTAACTGGTCCCTAACCGAGTACCAAATTTGAGCGCCATCGGTCCAGCCGTTCTCGAGATCTGGAAACGACCCCTGCACGTGCGCACGTGCAGCAGCACCCCAACTCTGGCACATGGATATGCAGTGCCTAGTGGGTGCCTACCTACATGCCAACTTTCAGCGCAATCGGCCAAGTAGTTACCGAGATATTGCAACAATTACAAAACTGACACCTCTTCGTTTTGCACGTGGCACGTGCATAAGGGGTCACCCACATGCATCGGGAATAGTCCAATACTTGGTAGAAGGAATGAAGCTACCCTACAAAAATTACCGCGTGTAAATCGGTCAAGTGGTTGCTGAGATATAAGCCTCGCAAAAGCGTCCGCACGGCCGGCCGGCCGGCCGGCCGGCCGCTCATACTCAGAAATTTCCGGAAAAAAAAATAAGGAAAGACTCCGCTCGCTTCGCTCGCTCCATAGGCAAGCATGAAGGAGACATATTGACAAAATGATAGAAAAACAAGACGGGCTCGTTCTTGGACAGGATGCAAGCACTGTAAGCAATCTTCTGTCGGAATTGTGCAAGTTCGTGGTAGCGACTAGCGATGCTGTTGGCTGTGTGTCCTGCAGTGGTGCAGTGCCTCGCCACACATGCCGCACCAGCCGGCGGTTCCCAGAGCATATCAATATAGAACATCGTAGTTCCTGCCGGAGCGTCGACATGCGCGATGGGAGCGCTTCACGGAACCTCCCACTGCTCGGGGAACGGGACCGAGCGAATGAGAGAGCGTCATTGCATGCGCCCCAGGCCCGCCAGGGGGTCAACTAAATCATGCATTCACTAGCAAAACCTAGCCCTCGCCCTTGACGGACATGCCGGCCGAGGGGGGACGCGGGTGCCGTCCCCCCATAGGGTTTTTCGTGATAGCTCCGAACGCGCTGGCGATAGAGAGATGAAACTTGGCATACCTGGCCTTTGATTCAAGCCGGATCTTTTAACACCAACCGCATTTTCGGGTTAGGTCAGGTCACTGACCTATGACGTCATAAGTGAACCTCTGCACGGTCTTCAGATGTCGCAACTTCGCAACGCCCTCACTGCCAGAGGAACTTTCACAGGGAAATGAACCTTGCAGGTGCCAGAAGCAAACAAAACATTTTTAATTGATCGGGATGCTCTTAAATCGTAGCCAATGAGTTCCTCTTTAAAATGGTAACAGTGCATGCTTATATCTCCAGCGGTTTTCTTACAATTAGCGTTTTTCCTTAACCCTATTCCTGGCGGGGGGGGCCTCAGGAGCCCCCCCCCTGAGGTTTTTTGGTTATTTCTCCCAAACGCGTTGAGCTAGGAAGCTCAAATTTTCTGACTTTTCCTAAAAGGCTTCTACGCAACATGTCTGAAAATTTTGAGTTGATCTGACCTCAGGTCAGGTCACCAGAGGCGGTTTGGTGACCCTACCTCAGAAAAGTTTGCAATCACGCCAGAGCTAGAGTTTTTGACCGATCAATTTCTTCTCTTCAGGCTTTAGTTAGGGTACCAGTATGTGCAATTTCTATATCTCGGAATTTTGATATCGGTGACCTAAGGTCAGGTCAGTTTCGCGACCTCCCCATTATAAGTCAATGGGGGAAAAATCAACTCCCTGTTTTTACCACTAAAACGGGTCGGAATGGCCCCATATGCCATACATGACTTCATATACGATCAACCTTCACTACCTTGAGGTCTGTTTTGCTGTTGGGCAGCTGTGAGGTCATGTGACGTCATCAAAGGTCACCAAATGTTTTTGGCCAATAACTCCGTACAGGAACAAGATACAGAAGCGTGGATGGTCTCATTGTGTTCAGCTCGTCAAGACGCATCGAATGATATACATGATGACCTCGAGGTCACGTGACCTGAGGTCAACCTTTGACCTTGACCTTGCGAGGTCAACATATATATCATTCGATGCGGATTGACGAGAGGATCACGATGATGCCCTTAGTTTGTTCCTATCTTGACTAATTCGAAAGTTATTCGAGAAAAACTCTCTCCATATCTAGCGCCGCCATTTTGACTTTTTCGACCCCTGTGACGTCATCTTTGACCTGACCTGAAAATGACCTTAGTAAAAATTGTAGATCTTGACCGTGCGTATCCGATGCCGTTTACCGTTTGTCGCTATCTTGCTTCGTTCTCGAGATCTCAGGGGGGGCCGAATCGGCCCCCCCCCCGCCAGTTTCTTGTCCCGGCGGAGCCCGCCAGGAATAGGGTTAAGGTGACGCAGTGCACACTCCTTCCCCTATTCAACAAGACACAACACACATACACACACATCTTGAATATATTTGAATGCAATTGTAATACCTAATTTGTTTATTATTTACATCAAAATCATCATCCGAAAACGCCTACCTTGACTTGATTCAAGTTGTGCCATTTCGGTCTCGATGGCTCAGTGGTACCTACTCCTTGCCTACTGGTTTTCTAAGGC